CAGGATCTCTGGGGTGGGTTTTTTTGTTTGGTTGGTTGGGTTTTTTTTTTGCGCTCGCTTGCTGCTGCTGCTTTTGGCAAGCCCTGGAACAGAGCCCAGGGCTTTCGTAGAAAAAGCAGCAAATCTGTTATTGTCTTTGCAGGTTTTCACTGGATTTCAAGAGAGGGAATGACATTGCCTTCCACTTTAATCCCCGCTTCAAGGAAGACAACACCAAAGTCATCGTCTGTAATTCAATGTTCCAGAATAACTGGGGAAAGGAAGATAGAACAGCTCCTAGGTTTCCATTTGAAGCTGGAAAACCCTTCAAGGTAACAAAAAACAGCCCCAAAACTCAGTCTCAGTGTGCCGACAGCATGGGAGGGTTTCGTCAGGGCTGTGTAATGAGACTCACTGCAAGGATCTTGATGCTTTTGCAGAGGAATCAGCTCCCAGAGGTGCTTTTGGGGCAGCCGCCGGTGTTCTTCCCTTGCTGTCCCCCCACTTCTTACCCCCTCCTGCAGGTCCAGGTGCTCAGGGTATAACTTCTCCCCACTTCTGTTATTCCCATTAATTATTAAATCCTCCTTAATTACACTGTCGTTCTGCAGCAGTTGTTGGGCAGGTTTCTATAAAGCGTTTTCCCCGCTAGCAACCAAGCTCTCTTCATGCGCTTTTTTTCTCCTGCAAAGTAAGTTCACATTTGGTGAGAAGGCAGCTCTCACTGTGCGAATCGTAGGGTAGCGCTTCTTGAAAACACCGTTATAGTCATGAGGAGACAGAAACCGTGGGCTAAAACACGGAAGAGGAAGAGTACAGCCAGGTTTTGGGGAAGGCAAAGGTCAGCGGTGTTTTTGCAGCCGAGAGTTGCTGCACCAGCTCATCCACATGCCACCGGGCTGGACTCAGCTGGCAGCAGCCTTGAGCCGGTGCCAGCCTGCTCCAGTCCGTGGCTTAAAACTTCTTCCTAGAACAAATCTGATGGTTATCTTTTGGCTGATTTGGGGGTTTTATTTCAGCTCCAGATCCTTTGCGAGGTGGATCACTTCAAGGTAGCGGTCAACGATGCTCACTTGCTGCAGTACAGCTTCCGTGAGAAGAAGCTGAACGAGATCACCAAGCTCTGCATTGCTGGGGACATCACCCTCACGAGCGTCACGCCGACCATGATATAAGTACGGTGGTGTAATTTCAATGCAAACTTAGTGCTCTTAATATGGCTGTAACAGAAGTGCCTTCTTACGTGAATATTTTGAGGTAATAAAACATACTTTCACAAGTAAAATTTGTTTTCACTAAGATCTCAGATGACAGGACATCCTCCAGCAAGCGGAGTTCAAATGTGGAAGTATCTGAATTTTTGCTGTAGAGACAGAGAATCTCTTTGACAAAGGGCGACGACTAGGAGCAGTTTGATTTGTATGGAGAGGAGTACTTGGGAAAGCAGCCCGTGGCGTACTGCCCCTGGTCCTGTGAACGAGGGCAGCAGTCTTCAACCCCATCTTCTCCAAGTACCAGATGCCAGTCAGTAACTTGGTATTTTTAGCCTGTTTCTCTGCCAGGTAGAGCAGTTACTCCTTTTCCACTAAAGGAATCAAAACAGCCCAGTGAAGGAGTTAAGTTCCACCCCCCCAGGGGAGGACGAGGTGCATGATCAGGCTGCGAATGGGTTGCGTGTAATTCACAGAAGCGTTGCCTCACTGAGGTTTTCCACTAGGAAACACTGGAAAATGCGGAGAACATAAGCCTCCGATCCTGACTAGAATGACGTATTTCAGGAGGGGGTTCAGAGCTGGAGGAGGCAAAAATCTCTCCCCTAGACGGCGGCTAGAAAAGTTACCCCTTTCCATTTCAAAGGCCCATTCTGTGGCCCAAATCATCGTGTCCTGAACACATGTCCCTCCCAGGGAGCTCCAGTTTATGCAAGCGTTACATACTCCATGGAATGGGTCACGAGCCTTGTGCTTCTCTCCCCTCATCACTTGTGGGTGAGTCAGGGCCGGTTTTAAGGGTGGGGAAGTTTATTTGCAAATTCACCTCATGAGTCAGGCTGGTAAAAAAAAAGTATGTTCCCTTTGCTGTGAGTCATTCTCCTGGTCTTGTCTGCAAAACAAGAACAGCACAATAGCCACTGTGGAAGTTTTCAAGGATCTCTTTGACACGTCTCATACTCTTTTATAACAGTTGCTTCATTTGTACTTGGGAGATGCCAAGTTACAAGCACAGTGTTGAAATTTCCAGTAGATGCAGTAGCCTAGACCAGCACGCTGCTAACATCAGCTTATGTGTATATGTCAGACGTCAGAAATTCCCTGTCGCCACTATTCATTGCACAGTGTTCATGACTGAACAGAGCAGGCAAGTCATTAAGAGCTATCTGTTTGAAACTATCTGTATAACTAGAGTTTAGTAACAATGAAAGTTGATGCCAGCACAGTAACACCAAGTCATGCTAGCTTCCTCTATTTATTTCAGTGTAATCAGTATACAGCTTCAGGTAAAACTTAAATCAGACAAGCTCCCCCAGCTGCACTGGCAATGCCTTCTGCTGAGGGATTGTTTTATAATAACAAAGAATGTGTGTATTACACTAAGGTCACCATTACAAGAAGAAGCCCAGTCAGGTATTTGTTAAAAATAGAGTAACTGGAGGTACTTATATATACTGTATATTTGAGTAATAGTATTAAACTGGCATGCTCCTTATGCATAAATACATTACAGTCCAGATAACAATACATAAGGAACAAGAGGCAAGAAGAGGCTGAGGTTAACATGTCAAGTGTTCAGAGAAAGAGGTTAAGAGATTTTCACATGAAAAAGTAAAGACAGAATACAGTTTGGCTTGAAGGTACTTAAGCTACTCAATAGATAAGTGTCCTTAAAAGAAATAATAATCAATGCCTATTTTAATACATTGCCAGGAAAAGATAGTGTCTGATTCTGAAATCCTTGCTCTGACATAGTTTCTACTATTACAAAACAAGTGGTTGTTAACCACCAGGAAAACTCCCACAGGAAAGAATTACATGCAGCGAACCCTTGCCACAGCTGCTGATCAGGCAGAGTTGTTAATGCACGGAATACCAGAGCCTAAGGGTGCAACAGCAGCCTCACAACAGCACCTGAGCATGAAACAATGCTTTGGGGGAGGCAGCAGGCTGAGTCTTACCCCCGGAAGATGCCCTCGCATCAGAAACAGGGCACAGGTACAGCTAGTCTGGCAGGCGCCTTATAAAAATAATTCATGAGGTAAGTAAGGTCAGGACAGAAAAGCTTAAAGATGAATAGTTTTACAACTTAAAGTAGACAGGAAATACATGAAATTACACAAAAATAAAAGTATTTTAGATTGTAGTTAGAATATGCAATCATTGGACACAGCAGGCATAACCAGAAAATGCCCCGCTACTAATACACAGCAGTACTTACAGTGCATAATGACTGTACTATAAAATGTTACAAAATATTTTAGTAAGTTCCACCACAAAATACAACATATTCATTCCCTCAGAATACAGTTCAAGGGTAGCAGACTGTATTCCAGGTATCTTCTGTGGGGTTTTTTTACTAATATAATTTACATATTTTGAATTTCAAGTCAGTCTTCATTTCTCCCCAGAGGGAGGAAGGGGAGAAAATACAATAAGGTCACTGAGTGCTTCGGCTGTTGCAGACTTCTGGGCTTTGATCTTGACTGGAGTGAAGGGAAGCTCAGTATCTAGCATTGGCTGTGGGAGAAATCAGTGTGAAGTAAGTGTTCGAGGAACAGTTAGTTACCTGCTGTGCAAAACAGCACTGCAATGACACACAAAATACGCCAATAGCAAATTCCCCTTTCTCTAATGACATCTGTATACACAGCAGACCAACCGTAATTAGTCAGGCAACCGCTTATCTATGTTAGGTACCTGCCTACTTCAGAGGCCACTTAAACTTCGTGGGACAAAAACTAGGAGAAAACACTTTTGACAAGGTGTCCTGGTTTTGGCCGGGATAGAGTTAATTCTCTTTCTAATAGCTGGTACAGTGTTATGTTTTGGGTTCAGTATGAGAAGAATGTTGATAACACACTGATGTTTTCAGTTGTTGCTAAGCAGTGTTCATACTAAGTCAAGGATTTTTCAGCTTCTCATGCCCAGCCAGCAAGAAGGCTGGAGGGGCACGAGGAGTTGGGAGGGGACACAGCCAGGACAGCTGACCCAAACTGGCTAAAGGGGTGTTCCATACTGTGTGAGGTTATGCCCAGTATATAAACTGGGGGAGTTGGCCTGGGGGGGATCGCTGCTCAGGACCTAAGTCAGCAAGTGGTGAGCAACTGCATTGTGCATCACTTGTTTTGCATATTCCAAATCTTTTATTATTATTGTCATTATTATCATTATTAGTTTCTTCCTTTCTGTTCTATTAAACTGTTCTCATCTCAACCCATGAGTTTTACCTTCTTCCTTCCGATTCTCTCCCCCATCCCGCTGGCTGGCGGGTAAGTGAGTGAGTGAGCGGCTGCGTGGTGCTTAAGTTGCTGGCTGGGGTTAAACCACGACACAAGGGGACAGGAGAAGGATGCAGTTCTCTTGCCCCTCACTCAGTACTGTGGACACATTGCAGCTTTAGAATAAGCAAAGTACCAATCTGTCAGGCAGAGCTGAAACTTGCAGCGATTCAGTAGATGTACTAAGTATACTAAAATGTGCTTGCTTATATATGATACTGTTTCAAAGCAACAGCCACAGTTCAAAAATCAGGTACGCTGTAAGTACCGTGGCTTTCCCAAGAGAAATTTTGCAAGCTTACTTCCAAACATAAAATAAGAAGGGAATGTGGTCCACTTCAAGCAGTAATCCAATTTTTAAAGAGGACTTTTCACATGAGACCAAGGAAACAGTACAGCCAATTTCTTCTAACAATTTGAAAGTTTTTGCACACCTGTTTTTTTCCTTGTTGAATCTTACTTCCAGCTCTAAAAGATAAAGCTACAAGAAAAAAGGCATGGGACAGACCTGGAAAACTCCAAGAAGAAACTGGAAGGAAAAGGCCAGGCCATTCATTATGTTAGTAAATATTTACAAGGAAATCCACAAGAAATATAATTTAAAGGATCAATGTGATAAGAATCAGACATTCTTCTGTGACAAATGTCTCGATTCATCCTACACTCATCATGTGCAATAAGGAATAACAGCCTGAGTCCGAGCAGAGAGACAGGAATCGTGGCTTGTATTTAGAGTAAGTTACATGAATTGGCTTGACAACATCTTACAGAGTTTAATTTACTTTGTGCTGTAACTGATTCCGTAGGAAAGGCTAACAGTACTGTAACATACAGATTGTCTTAGTCAAATAAACCTGAAGGTCAACTTACCATATCAAAAGGATTTCTGCCAATGAAAGTCAAATCACTACATGAAACATCTGAAAAATAAGAATATTTCATTTTTTTTTTAACATTAGTCTGATGCTGCCAAGGCTGAAAAAACAGTATTGTTTTCTGCATTTACTGAAAAAAACCAAAAAAACCCAACCCCAAAACCCCAAAACAAACCATAAACAGCCTGTATTGACATCTACTTCAAGCCTCTTATATTAGCTTTCTCCTTCACATATCACAGGGAAACTATACACAAAAATCTGAGTGGCACTGTTTGCTCACGTGCAATGCATGTATAAGTCATACTAGCTAAAGGAGGTTTTGCTAACAGCATGCATAGATTAACCAAGCTACAGTGATGGCAATTTCAAAGAGTAATATTTAGACTATCATAAAACTTTAGAATAAGCCTAAGGCCCCAGCAATGCCACACAAACTATACTAAGCAGCTTTAGGATATACACCTGTTTGATGTGGTTTTGGTTCTCCAGACTGAGCAAAGTTAGTCTCTCTGCAGGTCTCCTTCTCCGGACTGCACATGACAATATCTTGTCCTTGTTGTTCTGCAGCAGATAGTTCCATCTCTTCTGTGTCATCCGTTACTTTTAATTCACCGCTACAATTTTCCAGCATCTGAAAGAGGAATTTTAACTGTTCCTCACCCTCTAAGAGGCTAAGATGTCTGCAGTAGCTATATTTGCTTCCCAGACTGCTGAAAGGAAAGCATCAGTGAAATCAGGCAGACAAGAGGCAGCACCTATGACACTAGGAAGCTTTCTTATTTTCTGTTTTGTCTGCGATAAAAGGAAGTTTGTCAGCTTTTGATGCCGAAAGCACAAAGGTGAAAAGGCAGCTAGGACATTCACGGGAGGCGCATTTACAGAAACCAGCATGTCCCTGTTATGTCAAACCAAGTCCATACATTTAATCTGCAGTTTTTAAGGACAACTCAGGAGAGACTAGGTTTTAACTCCAGACATTGTACAAAGCACAGGCAGGAAAAGGCTCACAGCTTAACACTGTGATCCATTTCACATGAACTATTTCCCAAACACCTTTGTAAGCTTGATAATCTCTTAGAGAGTATAAAGGAAGTTCTTCCACATGAAAGAAGATTTTGACCTTCAACTGCCAAAAACATTCTGAGGATGTTCTTATGAGACTCTACCTCAAGAAAAACCTATCAGCAATACTGAAAGTTAAAGATTACTACAGTTTTCCCCCAAAAGCGACATCACCAACAAGCAATTTCTCATTTGACAGGGAAAGGATGAAGTAAAAGGCCTAAGAACAAATTAGTAACCAAGTTTTGAGTTGTTGTTTGTTTTGTTTTTTTAAAAGTATATATTATATATATGGGAGGGTAACAACTCCTGTAGTCATGAACAGATCCAAGCAGTAACAAATAACAGTATCATCTAAACTATGGAGGCCATATTCCTGTTTTTTTTAAGGCTACGCAAATGTAGGCAAGTCACCAAGACTTCAGACATTTCAGGGCATGGATTTCTGAACTCTGATACTTGTATTAGTAACACTGCTCTTGCTATACCTTTAAACAGTGTTAACAGTCCAATGCTCTGCTATGGCAGCGTGAGGACCCAGAGAGCTAAATACTACTGTTGCCTGTAGTCATGGTCCCCAAATGCAAAAGCATTAAAAAAATTCACACCAGAAAACAGGTGGTGGACTTTTAAGGAACATTGCTTGCCCAAGCAACAAGTGCCATCATACAGCAGCCAACAAAAGATAGCTCCCAAGGAGCTAGACAAGGTCCCCAAACTGCAGCACTTCCTATCTATGTCCACACTGAGAAAGAAAAAGCATGAGCCTGAGGAACACAGAAGATATCTTGATGAGGATTTGATCAGAAATCCAAGTGTCTGGGGCTATTAAAACCCCCCCTTTTTTTTTTTTGCTAAAAATAATAAAATATTTAAACCACTTACCTGAACTATGCATGACTTACCTTAGTTGTCTCTGCTGTGCCAGCAACAGGACAGAGATCTTCCACAACTATGGAAATGCTAAAAGAGAACCCAAAATGTTTTCATTCTTACCAATCATCTTCATCAATCACCTTCAGTCATCTTTTGACTTACCCAACTGATCTTACAATTTGCTCTACAATTATGCTTGCTTGTTTGGCACTGGTCAGCTATATCAAATTTTCTGGGCAAAAAATAAACTTCTACCCAGCAGCGAAATTACATTTGGACAAAGCTCTTAATATTTGCTTGAGGGAAGGAAAAGACAAGGACTTTGCAACATTTATCACTGCCAAATTGAAAGGTAATATCCAATGGGTATTAATTCTTTCTGTTAAAACTATAAAATTATTTGTACAGTTAATTAAAAGCTGCCTTAACATGTCTACCTTTGTTCAAGAACACCACCAGGGAGTTTTTCCAGTGGGGAAGTTTTTCCAGTGGGAAATTCGTGCATTTTCAAATTTTGTGCTGGGTGGAAGCCTTTGAGCACTGGTGGTGTTTGTTTTGTAGTTATATCCTCAGGGTTACCAAGAACAGAAGGAATGCTCTGAAACAAAGCTCTGCTGGGTGATCTTGGAGTTGCCAGTTCTTCAGAAGTCCGATGGGAAGATTTGCGAGGTGTCTTTGAAAGCAAGCCTGAAAAAGTGTGTTTAATGTTTCATTACCACAGCAGTTTAGGAAGATGAAATTAACTGTTTCCTTCAATTCTAGCTTGGAACACTATTGTTTTCTGCTTGCTGAATTGTCTTATACAAATATTATATTGAAATCTTATATACACTGCAAGGAGAAATTGAAAAAAGGTGACAAGAGTAGGTCAATAAGTTACAAAACTACCTTAACACCAGCTAAGCAACTTAGTAATGACTTTCCCTTCACAAAGAACCTAAAATAACGAGACTTGCTGTTCTTATTAAAAAGCCCTTCTGGTGAAAGCTGTCATCAATTTCCATCTTTCACATTAGATAATTTTAATAGAATTAAAGAGACACAGATTTAGAATTGATTCTTATAACAGATTCTCTGCTAGAGCTTGCTTAAACCCAGTACTGCTCCAAGCTTTTCACAATGTCCTAACAAGAGGCATATGAAAAAATTGCTAGTCTTGTGATGAGGAAAAAGATGTACACAAAAAATAAACTGTGAAATTCCAAGCAACTTATGAACTAGAAATGGGAGAGAAGCAGAATGACTCCTGAAGAATCAAGGATTACTGAAAATACTGGCTTCACATAGTATCAATAAGATAGATACTGAAAATAAAGTTATATTTTGAGCATCTGCTCAAAACCCCCTATTAAACAGGTTTTATAACAGACTGGAATATGTTACAATCTTGTTGAACATGAATACAGATTATAGCTATAATTTATTTGCAGCTTTGAAGACAGCACTGCAAGAGATTTAGTTAAAAAAAAAAAAAAATTCCAATTCTTGTCTTACAAATAGAGGACATTAGCCTGCATTGACTTTGATGAACAGGTTCGTCAGCTAAGTCTGGGAACACTCACATTAAAACTTCATTGTTAAATACATGCTGAAAAAACATGAACCAGCCGCTTTTACCTCTCTGTCTAAGCAGAGATTCCATGTTGCCATAATCACTCAAATCAGTACATTCATGTAGAACAGTTTACTTTGGATCCCTGATGTAATTAACCACTAGCTGAAATATTAACCGTGTCCAGTACTGGAGTTGTATCCATTATAAACAGCATAATTCCTCTTCCCAATGAGATTGGTTAAACTCTCTTCAGTACTTTCAGGTCACAGAAATCATAATTAAGCTTCACCCACCTGGAAAGGTTTTCACAGGGCTTTCAATTCTGAAAAATCCTGCTTCAAAAACCACTTTTTCTACTTCTGGTAGTTTCTCCTGATGTGTATGATCAACAGCTCCATCATGCTTCATTTTATCCCTCATAGCTGCTTTTACAGCAGCAAGCCGGTTTTGGGCAGCAGTTCTTGCAGCTGCTCCCAGCTTTGGTTTAGACACTCTATTTGGAATAGTCTTTTTCTGAAATGGTAAGAAAGTCTAGGTCACATCTGGAAGCTTCGGACAGAAGCAATTGCACACGAACATTTACGTAGCTGCTGGCCACACGTGGAGACGGCAATAAGCAAGAAACGTGCTGGAGACAAGGTCTCCATTCATCTCCAGAATGTCTTCGACTGCCATTCAGCTATTAAGGTTAGTTTGCGATGACCATATCAAGGATTTTTCATATTGAGTCTGCGGTTCAGAAATACTCAGTACAACTGTTTTTCAACAACTCCAGTTAACATTTTTGATCACAGTGGGATACAGGGACTCCTAGTGGCAAGGAGATAAAGTGACCACAGGGCAGACACCAGTCAAGCCAGTGAAGTCTCTCCTGGCATTCAATTTTTCAAAGGAAGTTGTGCGTCTTGTACAATCTGTAGGGTTCTGACATTTATGGGCAGCTCATGCAGACTACATTCCCTCCAGTCTCCTGTGCCTGGAGTTTCTTATCAACCTTCATATCATTTTTATGATTAGTTGAGCAGTCTCAAGGAACTGGATGGAGTTCAGGCAATGTGAATATGACTTGATGTTCAGTCATTAGAAGCAATTATGTATTCCAAACTGAAGAGCAGATAAAATAGCTTACATTAAAGCTTATTTTGCAATAAGCAATAACTTATTTTGGATAGTGTCAGATCCATTTGTGCTTAGAGAACTAGTAGTTTAATGCTACCCATGGTACTCTCTTAATGGGACACCATTATAATTTAGCACTCACTGCTCAAAACTGGCAGTCACTGCCAAATTCCTGTGTGGCTTCCTTTTCAGTTAAGTCCATGCCAACGCCAGTGGCCCAGATAAAGCGTTCTACATCTGAAGGGTAAATTTTTATTCTAAATTTAATAGATTTGTCTCACTAGCAAAGAGTCCAATGACTCCTTTAATTCTTAGTTCTAATCTTTCCAGCCAAAAGAGGCAACTAGCATTACGAACACCAACTGATACAAGTGCACCTGGGAGATGCAAGGGAGAAGGGTGCATCTCGAGATGAATTTCACTAAATTTTTAAACGTTAACATCTAAAGAAGCCAGATGAGTAGGGCTTTAGAAGGAACTTCCATTTAAGAAGAGTATTTATTACTGCAATAGCAGCTTCCAAGTTATTTTAGATAACACAGTTGCATCTTCATGCCTTAGGAGTCATGCTTTAGGGGCTACTCATACCTTGACAATTACTTTGCTTGGGACATCAAGTGGTTGCCACTCATTGTCTTGAAGCTTCTTCAGATTATCAAATTTTTTATTCACATCTTCAATCTATTGGAAAGCCCAGAAAAGTCCGGGTTTAATTTACAAGATTATCAGATTCACAATAGAACAGTGTTTCATAAAATCAGATAATAAATTTAAGCACAGTTATGCATTTAAGTACTTTTGCTTTAAATGGAGAAGCAAATTAAACCACCAACCGATTATAATAAAGTATTAAATGTTCTCATACAGGTGACATGAAGGTTACATTAACATACACAAACTTCAGATTAGATGACAAGACTGGTCTCATTTCTGTAGTTTAAAGGTTAGCGGGGGAAGTATAGAACTGTTCAATAAGATCTAACATCCAAAATGAAGGAGCTGGTTTACAACCTGTTCTCCTACTGAACTTAAGCACTTTGACAATGGTCGCATTTAAGGAATGCAAAAGAACACATTGCATAATAGCCTTTATCCAAACAAGCAGGAGCCTTCCATTATGTAGGAAACACGCCATGCAAGCTTGTTAGCTCTTTTAAACTGCTGGCCTGTACATCTTCCTGATGCAATCTGTGCTCATTCGTGACAAACTAGCTCTGCAGCATTACCTCCTCCCTGACTGATACTCAATGCAACCGCCTTGTTCTCCTTAGGCTTTGTAATGGAGACACTTGTCTCATTTGCTAGAAAGGCCATACAAGGCTTGTTTATGTCAGCAGACCAGTCACTGAAGTGACAAGTCCTTGACATCCTCCCTGAAACTCAGAAGACACAAACAAAAAAAGAATGCAAAAAGGAACAGAGCTAGCAATTCTGTTACTCCAAGTTTATCTATGGGAAAAGGTGAGGAGGCTCAGGAGAAACTTGAGCTGCTCCCAGATACATAGTAAGCATAGGTAAAATGCTGTTTTTCAAGTTACCGGTTCTAGCAAAGTTCCCCTCAAATATCTCGGAAGCAGCAGATCAAACCCTTACGCTTTCTGGATGGATTTCAAGACCTATGATTTGGACCTTAACAATAAATCCATTTTTGCATTTAACTTAACTAGTTACAAGTTCTTTTGTTGAATCCTGATTTACAAATACTGTTGAGAGCCCTTTTGATAATTTAGAATATTGTATTTCATTCTGAAACTAAGGGAAGCAACAACAGAGAAAGAGAGATGAATGTTTTCTACCACCTAAGCTCACTCCTAAATAAGGTTATTGTAGTTTCTGCACTATTCTCATACTGAAGCATGGAACCCTACTTTTCAGGTGAGCTCCAGGAATTTTCCAAAAGCTCCCAGCTTTTGGTCCAGGTAGACATCGTGACTGTATCCTCACTCCAAACCAGAATAAGACTTGGCTACACACCTTAATTCCAGAGAAAAACAAGATACACTGGCCACAAGAAGACACAACAAATGAACTGGTCCATGAATTAAAAGTCATTGTATACCAATTGGTACTATTCACTATCAGAAAGTCTTAAACAAGGAACTGCATTTTTTACATTAAAAAAATAAATCAGAATCTGAATATTCAAAAACCAAAAATATAGTTTAAATCCATTGTTTATAAATAACCCCATCAACTTTACTCTAGTAGGTTAACATGCAAGTACATACCTGAAAATTAACCATATCCCAAAATCCATCTAAGTCTGTACACGTTGTTTCTTTTTCACCTCGTTTAAATTCACAGTTATCCACCAGTCCTTCAAACTGTTTAAACCTTTCTGCTATCAGCAGTCTTGTCTGACCAATTGTGGTGCGAATAAGATCTTTAGCTGATAGCAACAAGAAAACAATAAAGAAAGTACATCTTGGAATAATTCATCATTTCACAACTGATTTAAATAAGTATTTGAAGAGTCTGGAATTTGTTTATTGTTTGAACTATGTTCATCTATTGCAGACGTGCAATACAATTCAGATGGAGCATACCTATCCATTGAACTGCTCTAAACTTGCTTCTTTCAAAAAAAATGTTACTATCTCTTTAAGTCTTTAAGATTAGCATTGATAAGCCATCTTCATTTTCCCAGATAAGAACACTTATTCTACATTAAAACCTAATTTTATTTTAAAAAATCAGCTTGGTTAAAGTTCATACATTTAAATACACTTAAAACTGACAAGAGAAAAACTATTTCAATATGCACTTTGTTCACTTTAGTGTCAACGACTGTCGCGTCAAGTACTACGCTTAAGTTTTAGTATTGGGAGATAAAGCATGCCTTTTTGTTTCGAGGCAGATACAACTCTAAACTTTATCTAAGACAACTTTTACTAAATGCTGTAGACAGTGCTATTTTGCGAATATATTCGGATACGTGTACTTCCCTCTGTCCCCTTCAGTCACCATAACAACCCTTCTAGTGCCTATTACAGTTTAGTCTTACCATCCTCTGGAATATCCAACTCAAGTTTTCCATCCCACTGGAGGCACTGAGACATCAGCCTCTCTGTCTCAGACCGAAGAATGTTTCTAAAAATAAAGGGACAGTGAAAAAATAAGGTTTTGGAGAATTTTCTAACTGCTGTCACTACTTGTGACTGTTAATAGTTACTATCCTTTTGCTTCCAGAGAAGCTACACTGTCTTTGAGCAGAAGCCATTAGATCGTTTTAGTTTGCTCACTGGCTGAGATGAAATTTCCTTTCTACTGCTTTTCAAGCCGGTGCTCCTTAGGACAAGGTCTCCAGAATTTTATATTCTTTACTAGCACTAACAATACAAAAGGGAAGATAGGACTGTGTGCCTACTCAGGTCACTGCTGACAGATACCAACCACCATAAGCTAATCTTTACAAGATGTCTCGTTACTCATGCAAGGGACCTCTGAGTGGACAACAGGGAAGTGAAACAAATGAACACAAACCTGAAATAGGGCACATCATGCCCTTGCTCTCTTATATCATCTGACTTTATTTCAAGCACTGTTATATCTGTAGAGGCAGGACGTGTTTCATTTGACCTTTGAATGGAAGTTTTCTCATCTGAGTCACTTGCTAGAAAAATAGGAAGGGCATGTGTTCAGAATCTGGTGAAAACTAAAAACATTAGAACAATGAACTAAATGTGAACTTCCTACCTTTTTCTTCTTTCAAACTTGTAGCGGTTTGCTGTTCTTGAATGCCTTTACCAGCAGGTGAAACTTGACTTTTTAAATCAGGCTCTTGTGCCTTAGTTTCACTGGATTTTTCAACTATATTACTGGAAACAAACAAAAAGTACATTTAGAGTTAAGACACATTGAGGAACTGCCATTAAATATGGCCAAATACACAGAAATGCACAATTTAGAAGGCAATCCTACACACAACCCTAGAGAACTCAAGCAAATACTATTAAAATGAATAAATCTGTGCAGAGAGATATACGGCACAGTCCTCCAATATATGGAGCTGCTGTACTTCTAAAGCATAGACAGAATTATGGATTATATCGCTTTCTTTGCTGTTGTATTAAGTCCACATTTAACAATGATAGCAACCACAATGATCAGGTGTTTCAACATCACAACAGTTTGTTACACAGGCAATCTCTCTATAGAAAGGTGATGTTGTCTCTGTCATCACAGAGAAGTTCACTTGCATTTTAGGCCATTAGAAGAAAGAATCTTACACTGGAGATTTGGAAAAATCCCAGAAGGCATTAGGTGTCAAAAATGCATTTGCCCTAGAAGGAGTCATGGGTGTAACTTTGTAGGTCGCTAATCCATTTAATGGCTGAAACACAAAGTTTTGAGGTGCAAAAGAGCGTGTCCTGGGTCTCCCTGGAGCAGAATTGTTTTTGTTTTCTGCTGCAGTTTCTTCCTGTTGAAGTTCTACTGACACTGAATGTTTAGAATCAGCTGCAGAACCTTTAATTGCTGGATCCAGTTGAGCATTTTTATCCACTTCATGTTTAGAAGGAATTACCTATAACAGCACAAACAGACAAAGCGAATGCTACATTATCAAATCAATGAAGTGTTTACTATAGGCATGGGCTGAATCATAACATGGCTGTCTGAAAGCCATCGGGAAGGGAACAGTTTCAGGTAAGTTGCTTTCTACAGTAGCATACATGTACAGAAGTCATGATTTACCAATAGGCCCAAGTGGTTTTGACACCTGCAAATCATTCTAGCAACAGGGGTAGTGCTTCCCTATGAGGAATGCAACAATCCACTGAAGGGGCTAAAGCAGAACACCTCACCTACCAAAACAGTAATTAAAATCAGCAAACGCTTGCTACCACTGCTAGAAAAAAAAAAAAAAAAAGATTTAAGGTGATAAGCTCCTCAAGAGCAGAATTACTGGCTCCAAATCCAACTAGGCCTGTTGAATAATCACAATTTATAAACATACTCTAATTCAAAGACTGAAGAATGTGCTAAAATAAGCTGGTAGCTGAGGAATGCAGCCCAATACAAGTGCAGTTAGGACCACAGAATGTCATTTAAAGAGGAGAAAAAGTTAATCAATAAGTTGAATCCACATTCCTATGAGATGAGTGACCAGATAGTCATACAGAACGCATTTCTGAGATACCTATATTGAGATATTATTAGCTCAAACCAGCCAAAAGAGCTTAGATTGTTTTTCAAGAAAATATGCGTCTTCAATCCACCAAAAGTCTTGTTATACTTTAGATAGCCCTGCTTGGAATGTAAGCCTTGAATTCAACTTTTAACACACTTCTTGTAACGAGATGACTGAGGTTACAGCAAGAGTTTACCAACTGGCAGCACAAAGCAACTCCTGCCTATGAAGAGGTACTTATCTAAGTGAAGATATAAGTGCCTGTTACCTCCTGTCAGTGTTTGTGTGTGATTGAACCAGTTTCAAGGCAATACTAGAGCACAGCTGCAGTTACGGAAACAGGAGTGGAGGTGGGAGGCATGAGGGACACACGAGGTGAGAGGGAATAGTGGAGTGCAAAGAAGGAGAAAAATCTCGCACGGGACTGTCAGCGCATGAATGCATATGCAAATTGTTTGAGGACCTGGGCTGGATGGCTACGATGAATTCATATACTGCTGTCTCTCTGTAGAGGCAGAAAAGTTTTGTTATAGCAGTGACACCAAGGACCACAATGACTGCCTTTAATTATGATAAATCATGTCTATCTTGCAGAGAATAACATTTCCAGCTTTATTTTTGGTGGTTCAAAGCCTAAAAATGCATTTATTTCTTAGCTTCTAGAGTCTCATATTCCCTGAGCGGGAAAAGGATACATTCAAAGTATGTTTCAAAAAGTAATGAACTGCACAAAATTTCCAAATGCTAAATAAAACCTGCAAAGCAAGCCTTACTTTTTTTTTACTAGTTAAAACATCAGACAGGAGATATGTCATGTAAGAACTTCTTTTCTAATTTAAATCATTGTCCAGATCTTGATTAGTGATCATCATCCATATAAGCACTAAATTTGATCTTAATTTTATAAATATGACAACATAAATACAGCTTCTTCCCAAAATCTAGCTTATTATTGAAAGTATTACTTCTATACTTGAGCACAAGTATATTTGAGCTACAATTATACTGTTATTGGCTCTTAAATCAGTTTTACTGAGTTTCCATTTCAAATATTAAATGTCCTACCTCCGTGATGTCAGATTTGACTGCTTTCTTCTGCTTTCCTACGTTTGCTGTCTTTCTCTGTGACTGGCTACCTAGAACGAGAGAAATTCCCAAAGGTCAAAAAGGCATCTGATTAAGATAACCTTTCACCAAAAGATTGCCATAAAAGTCCAGTGGCTAAAGACAGGGAGTGTTTTGTTTCTTGAGTGGGAGGTGGTTAGAGGGCAGACACCTAACTGCAAAAGTTCATTCAAAAGAAAACCTGGCCTAGGATTTAACAGCCTATTAAGAGATGTATCACCTAGAAAGGAAAACAGATCCATTAAGTTATTAGTCTTTCGATGTTGTCATATGCTAAAAATAAAAGTCACCTTATTTTCTTAAAGGCTGAAGAGATAGTGTCAAGCCAATTTGAGTTCAGATTTTTAATTTCTATATGGCATAGGATTTCTGTTGGTGAATTGAAACTGATACCATCAAAGCTGTGCTTTCAGCCTAGGGGTTAACTCATGTCATAATACAAGGGACACTGCAAAACATTTTAGAGAATATCCCGAGAACAAGAATATATACTAAAAATTTCCCCTTCAGTAACCGTATGTTCCCCTATTCTAGTAAAAAGACAAACATGGACAAAGAGAAATTCCTGACCTGAAGAACACAGGCTCTCATCTCTTCCAGGGGTATCTGCTCCTGATCACAGACTTACTAATCATATGTCCTTTAAACAGTGATACACCAAACTGGCAAATTTTTACCGGTTCTGGTTTGGTTCTTTCAGTTTGTAATTACCATATGATATTGATCCTCCACACTGATGGATTTTATGGGAAACTGTCCAATGTTGGTTTCAACATCTTGATTTAAATATTGCAATAGAGTTCCAGATGAAAGTCTAAGTGGTACAGTATTTGGTCCTTTTCTTACATGACGATTTGGCATGATTTACATACAGTCTGTCTATTCAAAGGAGATAGTTACACAGCAGAATGTAGTGTGCTAAGACAGTTCAGAACAAGCTGACACATATCTCTACAGCACAGAGTGCCTGAGATATGAGCAAGATCCTAAAGACAACAGAGCTGTCTTAGCGTATCATTTGACAATGAGTCTAACAGCAGCATATAAATGTACTTAAGACGTTTCCAGGGCTCACTTATACAGTACTAGATGGTATCTCTTTACAGCACACTACTCCAGATACTTACATACCAGGTTTGAGCTACAGAAGCAGGACTAGATTTGCTGCCTCACTCACCAGTAGTAGTAGCAGTAGCGGTTGTTTTCAGCACCTGCCTAGCTGCAGAGGCGGCTGCTCTGGTGATTCTCACATTTGAGGCTGTCTGGACTGCGGTCTGCAACACTGTAAGAAACATTAATTCCAGAGATTTCAAGCTTAATAAGGAGCTTCACTCAAGTAATATAAATGAAAGTTTATGCTTTGTAGAAATCAGAAAAGTGCACTAGCAATTATCAGTTGCATTAGTTTGCCAGAATCAACAGGGTTGGGGTGGTTTTTCAGTTCAGCGCAAGCAGCGCTAAACATGGAGAGCACAGCTCAGCCTTGGCATCAAGGCAATGCTCTGAAGGAACTTGACTGAAAATGTTTTTATTGTACAGTAGTACCTCCAGGACCATCAAGGTACCAGTGTGCTAGATGCCATGTACAAAGCTTAAGGAACCCTCCTCAATGTTCCCTGCAATCAGAGTCAACATCATCCCCATTTTACAGATTAAGCCTTCTAGAGTAATAACTTGCCATGGTTATTTGTGCGACTGGAAGCTTAAGCAAACCATCTGTGTAACAAAGTGATGCCCTGGTCATTATATGAAAGTATTCTAAGGTCTGAATTTAATGTAATCTAACAAAGTATTCTTAAGACTAATTGCCCCTGAAATATTTTATAAAATATGACAAATTCATGCACTGTATTACCCATCTTAATAATTTTCATCTTTGTATTTTACTACTGTTTCTAATATCCTTCAAAAATGACAGCATTCTCCTGCACAGAAAAAAGGAGCTCTTTATTTCTTATCCTCCCTTTCCACATCTGTCTGAAATCTAGTAGCCCCACTTGGTTACTATTAATACTATTTGTGTTTTTAATGTCAAGCTGCAGTTCTGTGGAAGCTAGAATGACAAGTTGGGAGAAAAATTACTAGATAAATAACTATAACATTTGATTTATCCAAACATTCCCTACCCTAACATTTTTATAGTAGTGTTTAAATACATATAATGCTTATTCTTGATTCAGCACAAAAGGAATAATCAAGTCTAGTGGATGACAATTTTTCAAAAATTACATGTTTTAATTGTTATATCAAACACTGATAATAGATCTTTTCAGTATTCACTGAAGGCAATACGAAAATTTATTTCAATAAAGGTCTGCTGCTTTCTGATTTAAGTAAATTAGTGATGCGAAAGTAATTTCACTCTGAATTACTGAATAGCTTCCATTAACATCAATATTCCACATGACTTAGCCTTATCTACTTAAGGCATGGACATCACTGTGCTATCAAGAAAAATTTCTAATCAAAAGTATTCTACTTCCTTAAAGGTGGCATGGGATGGTTTTTGTTGTTGTTTTCTTAACAAATGTATGTAACCATCACATAGAAAGTGACAGGCACAGAAGGGGCTGCTGTAAAATATGAAGATGTAAGATTGTACTTGTCTTTTATTGAAAAAAGACGATTGCACATTTATTCATTTGCACTAGTGTGCATCAGAAGTTTGGGGTCCTGTCTCCAACATTATATGCTGTTCCAGTTTCATCTGGGATAGAGTTAATTTTCTTTCTAGTAGCTGGTATAGTGTTATGTTTTGGGTTCAGTATGAGAAGAATGTTGATAACACACTGATGTTTTCAGTTGTTGCTAAGCAGTGTTCATACTAAGTCAAGGATTTTTCAGCTTCTCATGCCCAGCCAGCAAGAAGGCTGGAGGGGCACGAGGAGTTGGGAGGGGACACAGCCAGGACAGCTGACCCAAACTGGCCAAAGGGGTATTCCATACTGTGTGATGTCATGTCCAGTATATAAACTGGGGAGAGTTGGCCAGGAGGGGCAGACCACTGCTTGGGAACTGACTGGGCATCAGTCAGCGAGTGGTGAGCAATTGCACTGTGCATCACTTGTTTTGTATATTCCAATCCTTTTATTATTGTTATCATCATTATTAGTTTCTTCCTTTCTGTTCTATTAAACTGTTCTTATCTCAACCCACGAGTTTTAACTTCCCCCCCCCCCCCCCCCGATTCTCTCCCCCATCCCACTGGCTGGGGGGGGGAAGTGAGTGAGCAGCTGCGTGGTGCTTATTTGCTGGCTGTGTTTAAACCATGACATACGCTCATGTGCTTTACCAGTACACTATCCTTTTCCAAACCTTTTTCAATGCTGAGTTACACAAGCAGTTTAATTTAGAGACCACAGACAACAAATTATCTGCTGTATATACAGAAGAAAGACTTTGCTGAAAATATTTACAGCTCATTCAATCAGGCTACCTGCAATACCAAGGAAAATTCATATTTTACTTATGTCAGTTATCCTTCATCTTTCCAGGTGAAGTTGTTTGCTCTTCTGTAATAGCAGCAGCTACTACATGTGATATTCTTAGAGACAAACAGAAAGCTCTGCACAACTCCAGATGCTACAGCAGCTAGCAGTCATGCAATTTTGCCTACTGACCTTTTTCTTTTCCCTCTCCCAGGGTGAATAATCAGTAATCAGGACAGCTAGTATCCTGCATTCCATTTCCCCCAGCCCACAGAGGCAACAAGTACATGCGATACTGTCCTGGTTTCAGCTGGGATAGAGTTAACTGTCTTCCTAGTAGCTGGTACAGTGCTATGTTTTGAGTTCAGTATGCAAAGAATGTTGATAACACTGATGTTTTCAGTTGTTGCTCAGTAGTGTTTAGACTATAGTCAAGGATTTTTCAGCTTCTCATGCCCAGCCAGGGCACCTGACCCAAACTGGCCAACGGTGTATTCCATACCATGGGACGTCCCATCCAGTATAGGAACTGGGAAGGGGGGGCGGGGAATCGCCGCTCGGGGACTGGCTGGGTGTCGGTCGGCAGGTGGTGAGCAATTGCCCTGCGCATCATTTGTACATTCCAATCCTTTATTACTACTGTTGTCATTTTATTAGTGTTATCATTATTAGTTTCTTTTCCGTTCTATTAAACCGTTCTTATCTCAACCCATGAGTTTTACTTCTTTTTCCTGATTTTCTTCCCCATCCCACTGGATGGGGGGGAGTGAGTGAGCAGCTGCGTGGTGCTTAGTTGCTGGCTGGGGTTAAACCACGACAGATACCTAGAGCCACACGCTTGATAATCCGCCAGCTGCTTGTCATAGTTGGTAGGAACTGCTGTCCTAAAAAATTCTCCTTGTTTCCTACGCAAAAATGTGCCACCAATCTCTCCCAAAGATGTTCCTGGCCTCCCTCCCATAATGTCACAACTACTAACTCAGGAGAAAAAAAAAACCCAAACAAAACAGCAGCATCCTTTCAGATTCAGATGTAGGGATCATACTACTTTCATACCTTTCTCTTTTTCAGCTGCTTTGTCTGTACTTATCTGTTTACGTCCTGATTGTGTAGGGCGCACACTATGCCCGCTGGCACAGATCTACAAGAGAAGATAATTTTTTGTGAAGTATCAGATTTCCAGAAATTAAGCAACCTAATGTTTTTTTCTCATTTTTCTATCATAGGCTCCAGTAAAACAAATGGTCAAATAATTTGGCACAAAGGGCTTTAAAAAGTAAAGAGAAACTAAGGATAACTAAAATAGCTCGGTTTAGACATGGGTTAACATGCATTATTGAACTAGTCAAGAATTTGCCAGAAAAGAATGAAGAAAAATATTTAAGAAATAGTTTCAATTTACTATGAAGCTAGGTGCCAGTTAGTGCCACATCTTATACACATTACGTGTTTTAAAAACCAGTTTTCAGAAAAAAAACCCCAATATTAACTCAGTTGTCCCTTTGCAAAGTTATGACTGGAAATTCTTCAAATGCATTCAAGTTTTATAAGACAAGATTGCTAGATTCAAAATATATCTTTTTTTTTTTTTAATACAGATTACTGCTGGTGAAATTCCTCAACAAAACCTACTTTTTTGTACAAGTAACAGCAGAAGGGACTGCCAAGATTCACAGTAATAATATGCCAACACTGAAGTGATTTTTGAGTGAAGAATGAACTGACTCTTTATAATCTGTATTCATGACAGTCTTTCTGCATTCAAGGGAGATGCACTGGTTCTCCAAGCCAAAACCAAAGTATGTAACTTCTGTCTCACTACTACCTCTACAGATATTTGCAGTCCTTGCTGACTACAATATTTTGTATTGAAAAATTGATTGAGAAGATCTGTGCACTTTTCTCTGTACTGACCTAATCAAACTCTCTGCAGTTCAGCACAATGCTGCCTACCAGCTCGCTGAAAGCTTTTCTGATCTAATTTGTCTTTCTCGCCAGGAAAGCCTCCTTAGAGACAGCACTCAACTTGTAAGCATACAACCCTGAGTTATGGTCTGAAGGACAATTGCATCCTTTTCTCTAAATTTATTCACTGAAGTTTATATTAAAAAAACAAACCGTAGAGTGCTTAGATGCAGTTGGTATCACAGTTTTTTCTTCCTGGTTCTTGGCCTTTGATCGAGTAATCCTCCCGGAGAAAGCAGGAGCTGCCTGGAAACATCCCCAAGGAAACAAGAGTTAACATACTCCTTTCCCACCCCCTGTCACTGTTAAAGTGGACAAGAAGTCTAAGTGTGAAAAGCAACATGCCCATGCAAAATGGGTCAAGTGTGTAATTTGAAAAACTTTCAAAGTCAAGTGGACTAAATAGGAACAAGTTACCAGTTCTAAAATAACTTAGCTGTTTCACTTGTGGATGCATCATTCCAGTTTTTGAACTGAGAACATAAGCATAAATACAAAAATCAACATATCACTAGTACTATTTCCAGCTTTGTTTTAAAAAACATGAGCCAAATTACTCCCTTATTGTTCCTTGTTATAAAAGAAGTATTTATGAATTATTCACAAAATAAACTGTTTATTTGGCATACCATACACATAATTTTGTATACAAATAGAAATTTTAATATAGTATACGACATATAATTCATTTAGATATTTAATAGTACTCTTACTACCTTCTCTCTTGGCTTCACTATCACTTGATCTTCAGGTACAAATGAAAGAAATCCAGGCGCAGGTGGTCTATATAAGCCAACTTTAAACACACCCTTTTTTGCTTTCTCTCTCTGCTCTTTCAGTTTTCGAAGTTCCTTTTCTTCTTTATAACGCTGGAGCATTTCCTTACGTTCATTAACCTTCTTGGTGGCTGCATTTGTAGATTGTTCTGAAGCAAAGATGGAAGATGGACACGTTACAAAATCTTGAAGACATTTCTGAGCCAACAATAAGTCGGAAAATTTCAAAAAACTTTTCCAAGCTAGAAGAGGAACATACTAAGTCAAAGAGCAGAGGACTGTCTGGAATCTGTGCCTGCAAGTTTCAATTAAAGTCTTAAAATGCAAATACTTGTGATCTATTAGCTTGCTAAAAACTTAAATTCTCTTAATTGTTTTAACCCTTCCCACTAAAAGAGTATTCAATGTAATTGAATATTACATTGAATTTCAGGTTACAAGTACACCTCCCCAAATCTGCACCTGAGGAATACTATAAATTCATATCCATTTTACAGTGTACAGGCTGTTTCTGCAAGGTTACTAGTATTAAAGTTAACACTTTAACTACTTGTTTAGTTTATTTGTATCAGTTTCTCTATTCAGACACTTGTAATCTCATTGAAAGCTGAAGTTTAAGTCAGCTTTAGATATCAAAGTCTGCCTCAGGCTGAGAATAAATGAGGCAGATGTTATAAGAAAGAATAAAACCTTGAGATGATACCAATCTTGAAATACATGTCTATCTGAAAAATTAATATCTACTTAAAGTTAAAATTTATTGAAGATAACCAGGATACAAATTTCTTAAATTTCATATTTGACATGATTACACAGGGACTGCACTCTTTCCTCCAATAAACTTCTGCTATCAAACTACTGAAGGTGAAAATATTTCTAAAGAAATCTGTTAACATTTTTAAAGATTAACTTAATTCCTTAGACCATAAGCATCCAGGAGAGCCAGGGAGGCAGAATTCAGTATATATGCAGGTCCTATTTTCTCAGAGGAAAGATAAGTCATCAAAAACTAGCAAATTTTAAAATAAAATTATACTACCCATTTATTCATTTATAATTATATATACCCAATTATGATATACAATTACCCATTTCTAAGCATACTTTAAGCACCGACATCTCTTACATGAGATTTTAGATCAGGATTTTCACTTCCTGAATGACAAAGCAATCATTAAGAGACTTCCCATTGAATATTAATAGCAAAATGCATTCTTCTTTTAGCTGCTGCAGACAAATCAGAGCAAAGCTCCATTCATACAACCAGAGCAGTCAGGAGAATAAAGCTGTATTAAGACTTCATCTTCTTAATTTTCTTAACAGTTAGAAGAACTGGTAGTCATCGGTTTTAAAATCTTAAACCTTTTCTTCAAATTAAAATGTTGACCACAACTAGGCTCCTGTGATAATGTTACTAAATCCACTTAAAGACATTTTACAATTTAAAACAAGCTTTAAAACAAGTCCTTACTTACTCTGTTTTACACTGCGGTTCTCTTGAGAGCACATTTCACTTGTTTCATTTAGTTGAGAAATTCCCCTCTCTTTTGAGAGCTGAACATTGACATCTGCCAATCCAAACTGTCGGCCCTTTTCAAACAACTTGTGTCTGTTCTCCTTTTGAAGCATTGATTTTCTGCGTGCAACTTTTGTTCTGAGCGTTTCTGTACTCAAATCCCTCTTGTATTGACTGGCAAACCGGGAGGTAGCAGCCATCTTGATGGCTCTAGACAAAAATCATAATGATTAGGGTAAAAGCTGTCATGTTTTGTTTTGCTCTTTTCATTAGAGTTTGCATGTTAGGAACAAAGCCCTAGGTTTTCATTTCTGTATGTGTACCAGAGAAAAGGCAAAGGACAATTTCAGTAATGACTCCTCATTATTTCTCTTTATTTTATGCATTCAAGGGGCCAGTTTGTTTGTGAAGCGGTCAACAAGTCTGACACAGAATCAGTAGGGGACACTGCATCACTGCCAGGGGTTGGCCTGCCGGTCTGTTTTCAACACAGATGTTTTTCATGTTAAGGAGACAAGCAAGTAAATGACAAGGTTGTAGGACAATACTTGGAAGCAACGTTGCCACTGAGCATTTAGATTATACCCTATCTGATGGCAAGGCATTTTTGTCATGCATCAGAGTACTTGGCACCATTTCCCAACTGAGTTTCCAGGATGCAACTGCAATACAATAGCGTTTATTTCAAGCAGGATTCCTCCCTACTTTAACCTGAGGAAGACTTAACGCAAACATCAGTTGGTCTGTACATGCTGCGCTAACAGCAATGTAAAAAGCTCCATCCCCTGCATCCTGCTGAAGCCCATCTTGTTGAGGGTTTTCATGCTTTCTTCCTGGAGGGAGGTCAGGATCAGTTCTCACAATTGGCCTTACTCTGCCACCTCGACCAGGGTCTTTTAGAAATCTCATCTTCTATTACTTATAGAAAACAGCTTTACAGTAAGGCAGGTGATAACAGCTAAACTAAATAGCCAACAGTTATTAATTTACCAGTAAATTGGTCATTTACTGAGGTTCTTCATTTCAAGACAGCAAGCTTTGATCAAGCTAAAGGAATCATCAGTGAACTGGACTGAAAAGATTAGCCTTAACTATGGGTGTACAGGATTTCTTAAAGTCAATCCCTTCCCCCTCCATTTGCTACCAAAAGGCAAAAAACCCATAAGCAGCCTAACTGAAAAACCCAAATGTCAAAAGAAAAAGGGTACCAAAGTAAACAGAAAGAGTACAGAAATAAACTGCATATATTTATGGAAAAAGCAAGCAAGGAGAGAATCTGAGCTATTGTAAGAAGGAACACAGACAAAACCTGTTCCGATACTGTCACTGTTGGCAGTGGCAGCTCCTCGTGCTCCACTTCATGGCAATATTCACGTACCGAGCAACTTACATAGCACCAACAGTACCTGCACAACCATCTGGAAGTGCTTGGAATAGACACTGGAGATAACGTAGGAGTCAGAAATCTAAATGGGTATATTTTGCTTCTTTTCTTCCCCCAGTACGTTCAGTGCTGTAGGACAGCAAAACGATCAATGGAAGTTAAATGAGCAAAGGGGAATAAAAATCAAAACTCAGCTTAAAGCACTCAAATCAGAGACTGGATTTCTTCCACATAATCCTGGAAGGGCTGCTGCATGTCAGTGCCACCTGATTTGTGAATATCATATGTTTTATCCTGCCTTTTACATTCCAACTTTCAGAAATTGATTAAAGATGCTAGTTAATTATTGCAAATGATCAGACTAACTCTACTGTAGTTGATAGGTTGCATTTGCCTTGCTTTACATTTAAGTGATTAAGGAAGGTTAATTCATGAGCATCTCCAATAATCGTCTCTGAACTGATCTTGTTAGTAATTCCCACTGTATTACAGAAAGCCATGAAGAAAACAGTGGGAATATATCTCTACTACCTACCTCCTAGAAGAAGCAGGCTTTTTGAGTCCAGTGGATGAAAATCATTCCTAAAAGCAGCAGCTAGCATCAAGTCTCTACACCCATCTTTTGTGGGCTTTCAGGACAAATTCCCTAAATTTACCTTAAACATGTTCTTTAAGCACAACAACAGTCCCCCAAAGTGCATGCACAATTTTAAATTCAGTGCCCTGATGGAAGGTAACATCACCTATATCCACAGAATATATACACTGTTATGTATCAGGAAAGCTTACCAAAAGCTACATATGCCTTAACACTGATAAATAGTTAACGCATTTAAAGGATTTTTATGTTCTACCTTCTACTTTGAACAATATTTTCCTAGTTATTGTAGTATAAGTCCACTTAAGGCCTTCTCCCATGAATAAGCCTCAAAACCAAGTGATCTATGTTTCAGTAAGTAATCCTGCAGAACAATTCATCTGAAACTTGAAGGCGGCAAATACAAATACAAGCAGAGATACAGAGAGAGCTTCCCACAAACGTATTATCAACTCACATCCCAGGTCAGCAAAAGCACTACAAGAGATTACCCATGATCTTTTTGGGCTCATAAAAAAACATGTTGCATGCTCAATGTCCAAAACATATCTTTAGGACAAAAATACCTGTCTCCTTTTCTTTCCAGATTACAGCTTCTGAGTAGTATCTTGCCCAAACAGGAGTCTAGAAGATTAATGGGAATTTAAATTGGTATAAATTAAAGACTAGTAGCAGGAAAGGGACAAAGGGCTTATACAAAAGAAAAGATTTGTGACCGGCAAGCATATACTACCAAAATTAAAGTTGAAAATTTAGAGGATTGATTTTTATAAAAAAAAAAAAAACTGATGGAAGAGAACCACGTTTGACCTGCAACACCACAGGAACCAAAGGAGCAATACGGACATGAAAAACATTTCGGTGCACAGTTAGCGGTTTTAGCCTGAGTCGCGACAAAGCAGAGCAGGAAGAGCAAACATCGCTACTTTTAAAGCGGGAACCCGGCAAGTTTAGGGACCGAATAAGGTCTAGACTCGATGGTTTCGAGACGGGGCCCGGGGGTCACGATGAGCTGAACGCCATCTTCCAGCCCCCTGCTTCCCATCGCGGCTCTGAAGGGTCGCCGCAGGATTTTCCCCTCAGCCCCTGCTCCGTCACCGCCTCGCCGTGCTTTCAGGCCGGCTCAGAGAGGAGGCACCACTGCCCCAGGACCCGTTACAAGGCCCGCTCCCACCGCCCCGGCGCCGCCATACCTGTGCCGACGCCCGACACTACACTCCCCACAGCGCGGCCCGCCTCGGCTCACTTTCAAATCTCACCTGACAACGCTCATTGGCCGGTCCCGGCCCGCCCGCAGGCTCTCATTGGCCCGCTCGCCGCCATCCGTTGACGGGCTGAGCCGAACTCCCGGAGCGGGCTGTTTATTGGTCGCTACGCTTGATCCTCATTGGTTGCGCTGAGCATTTCCCCCGCCCTTGCCGCTCATTGGCCGGCGCGGTGCGGGAGGCGAGGCTTGCCGTGAGGGGGCGAGCCCTTCCCCTGCGTCCCGCCCGCCGTGGGGTCGCCGCTCTAAGATGGCGGAGGGGGTTAGCCGGCGGCCCAGCGAGTAGCAGCAGCAGCAGCAGCAGCTGCAGCTGAGGCCGCGGCCCGGGGTGCGGTGCCCTCCCGCCCCACGGGGACGCGGGGGCAGCGTGAGGGGCCCGCGGGCCTCGCAACCGCCCTCCCGGCGGCCAGGCAGGCCTATGTCCGTACCTCAGTGCTGCCTCCTGAAGAACCGAAAGCCGGGTTTACACAGGCTTGAAAGGGCCTGGGGCTGTGCCGAGCCTTTGCTGCCCCTGTATTCTCTCTTGTATTTGCATCGTACCGGCCCTCCTGGGGTGGGCTGTGTTTAATGCGATTCGCACCTGCAAGGCAATTTGTTCTGGGTTCGTTCATAAAAATCGGCAAAATCGAAATGCAGAAATGCTAATGAAGAGACCAGCCACTTGGTGGCACTGCAAAAATGTGGACGGCATTTGAGAAAAGAGTGTTGCTAACGAGGAAACCGCTGAGCCGCAGGCGTGAGGGTAAACGGTGGAGGACAACCATACCTTGCAGACGGCCTAAAAATGCAGGACCTCCGTACGGCATGACAGTAAAACGTCAGTAAATTTTTATACAAACGCGATTACGGTGAAAAAAGACAGCAGTAAGTGGATTAAAGACCATTTGGTCTGAGCGCAGAGCTGTTCACCACAGTAGCGATCAGTCTTGGCGTCACTGGAGAGTTGGGTTGGAGTAGTCAGAGAAGTGTCACCCCCAGTTCCCTCTATGGACTGCCAGGGGTTACAGCAAAGATTCACAAACTTTGAACATCTGGACTTAATCCTACAATCATTGATTTACTATAGGAAAAAAAAGATTAGTGTGAAGGTTATTGACTGCTGCCAGGTTCCCCAATGGTATGAAAAAGATCCAGTTAAACAACAACTACAGGAGTTCACATTTGTAGACTCTGCCCACAGAGTCCAATCCGATGCAGTCTTCGGTGTTTGCTGATTTTTGTTACTCCTCTTTTTCTCCCATATAGTGGAATTTGAGGGCATTCAGCAGTTCTACGTTATGATATCAGGATATAGTCCAATGATGTCAGCCATGCTGAACCACAAGTTTTAGGGAAAAAATTAGGAGTGTCTTCCTTCCAACCAAAAATCATTTTTTCTCAATGCATACCCGCATCTGAAGGATTCCTTCATGCTGAAACAATACTTGTTTGCTCCTTGGAGCACCTAAACTGGCACATTTGCTAATTTCCACTCGTGGATGTTGATACTGAATTTAGGAAGTGTGGCTGCGCTACAGCTGGGGCTTTAATCTCACTAACTCGAATAACAACATCAGCGATAACGCAGCGGTACACGCTTCAAGGCAGACTAGCAACCCAAGTACCTAACTGGGGTCCTTGGCAGGCTCAGGCTCTGCCGTGCAGCTTTGCTGGTTGTTACCTGAGCTAGCTAGGTTAAAGCCAGAATGGGTTTCCTTAACACGCTGCAGTGACACCTTCCACTGACAGTATCTAGGTCACCGCAAGGGTCTTGATGTATTTGAATAATGCCATGATTTTAAAGTATTGCAGTGTCACTTTAAGACAAAACACGGTAATCACGCGTTTGTCAACCAAATTCCTGATTGCTACTGATTTTATTGTGTTAAGAACAATGAACATATTACCATTTAATATAGATAAGCAATATGAATATATAAACTCATTATACTGTACAGATATTATACATGCCTGAAAGGTTAAACCTGCCATTCTCATACAGTCCTGATGATTTTACGATAATGTGCCTACATTTTAGCCATTGAAGCTTTGAGAACCAATTTGAATTTATCTATTTCTTGACAATATGACTGTCGTTATTAGATACATATTGTACTGAGGAGATCATTATGTGGAAATCTGCTAACTTGCTCTTTCTACTCTTCGTTCATTCACATGGGATATTGTTCTTTGTGAGGGTAATTCTTCCCAGCCTTGCATAACTGCACCTTACTGAAGAGCAATATGGAGCATGTAGGGAAACCCATCTCCAAATTTAGCCCTGAAATAATCCAATTTCTAAACATATTTTTGGTGAAAGTTCAGCCAAATGGAATTATAAAGCCGTAGCCCACAGCGCCACATACTTGCCACTTGCATGGAGTCAAAGAAAAGCCTCTGTAGGCAAACTACTGTATGTGGAGCACAGCACGACGCTGCAGAGGGCACAGAGTAGTCCTCCTGCCAAATTTAATTGATAACCTCTTAATCAAGTGTTGTGCAGCAAAACCATTACGGTGCATTGGCTGTTGTTCCCATTTCTGCTTATGCTTTTCATCTGAAGTGGTTGTTAGTTTAAAAACCAGAACAAATTCTAGGAGCAGCAAACAGAAGCTAAATTCCTGTCTTACAACAACTAGGAAACACAGTTAAGCCTTCTGCTGCATTTTCTTGCTCTGTTCTTTGGGTTTCATTTTGCAAAGTAGCACGTTTTCAACAGGAGTGTGAGATAGCTACCCACCAAACCCCTAATGCCTCAGCCTGTAGCCTGGGAGGAGGGTATGGTCCGAGCAGGTAGGAGAGAGAGACATTTGGACTCTCACCAGGATGAGCTTGGAAAGCATCTTGCCTTTCCTGGGTATTTGCTCTATCACCTAGATTAGCACATAAAACAAACGACATCAAATGCAACCCCTACAGCCCACAGTGTTAAAAAGAAACCGGTAACCTTCCTCTGTTCCTTCAAAGAGCACTTGCAGACTCCTGAACCCCAGATGTGTGGGCCCAGGATCCCGAGCTGATGGAAACGCCTACACGCTGGCTATGCAAAGCAAGTCTAATACATCCCTGGTTTGATCTTTCCTGCAACCAGGTCTCTGCTTGGGAGGTGGGAGTTTCCACTCGCCCTTGGGAGGTGTCTAACAGTCTCCAGGCTATAAATAGAAAGACGAGGTACCCAACTCTGGGTATTATATTGCACTCTGGCAGCCTGATACCTAATAGCTAGATGTTGTAGCACATTTATAAGCTCCCAGCTTTCACTGGAGCTAGCCTAAAACGCAAACTAGCAATCTTACAATGCAAAGTAGAGTTGGAAGCAAAGCCTGGGTAGTTTTTATCTCAGCATATCTTTACATCCTCTGTTAATTTATGGTGTGTTTACACCGAATGTTCCCTGCTGTTACAGGTTTTGGTCAAAAACCCACTCTAGCACTACAGGTGAAAGCATCCTGCAGCTGGTTTCATCCTTCAAGGCCTAAAGCCACATTCTTAAGGAAATCACATTTCTTTCCAAACAGACTTGAACCTTCTTGGTATTCTTCCATGGGGAAGAGGGGAGCTGGAATTAACCAAAGAAAAAATGCTGGATTCAACCATGGGCCACTGCTGAGTTGAGACCAAACTTTTTGTCATTTCCACTTTCATTGGAGTGGGTTACTTTGGGTGAATTGTACTTTTATCCCCTTTAGCAAAGGCAGATAAAGAAACCGCTTAGTGCGGTGGTATTAGACGATGTTTCAGCAGCATGAAGTAGGTTTCTAATTGCGTTAGGCCAAGACCATTGAGTTTTCATTTGAAAAGAACATCATTTTCCCTAGCTTAGACAAGACTTCTAGTATTTTTTTTTTATTTTGGCTTAAAACCTGTATGTATTTTTTCTCAGCACGCGCCTCCTTGTGTCTCCATTGCCCAGAAACAGAACATCTCATATGGAAGCTGGATGCGACTGCTGGAGTTACAAAGGCGGTAAGGAACAGCTTGGTTTAGAGAGTACAACACAAAGCTTTGAGGAATATGACCGTTAATTAAGATGGAAACAATAAAAGAGCTGTAACGACTTGGTTAGTCCTATGTACTCTGACAGAGTTAAACTTCTCCAGGTCTCCGATAAGATAGGACTGGTTTTCTTTATCTATTGTTTTTTTAATGTTCAAGGCTACTGAAATGCAAAAGTGCCAGATGGCCATGTAAGCTAAACAATGTGCAAAATCTTTCTTATATTATCACTAAATGCCCCAGGGGGGCAGGGGGGGAGAAAGTTTATTTAATCATTAGAAGTCACTTAGCAGCAAATGGCATTTAGCTGTCTTTATCAACTTACAACAAAAGATTGGCTCTGTACCGTTGGGGGGCCTTTTTCTAATATGACAGGGCACATATTTCATTTCCCTTTAAGTCATCTGGCGATATCTTGTGTGTCAGTGTATGTCACTGAACTGTGGTACCATGCTAGTAAATAGTTTTTTTTTCACGTGCACAAACAAATCACCATGGTCCTATACCAAAATACAGAACCTTCGCCCGGAACACATGAAGCTACTGTGTCAGCAACAGCTAAATCCCGTTGTTGTTCTGGGGTTTTGTTACAGTTCAGAGGAGAAGGTACTGGAGGGGTGAGGAACTGTAGGTTCTGTTTTCCATACTGTCACTGATCTAATATTTGACCTTCAGCAACTCATTTTACCTCTATCTTCCCTCCCGTCCTCACTTTGTATATAGCGGCCGTAGTCAACAGGGACTCCAGAGACTTTGGGAGATTCATCTCAGCCATCTGAGATGCCATGTTAATGTGATCCTGTGCCTTGGCTAATTAGCTCTGCCCCTCGTCAGGACTACTGCGGCACAGTGCTGTGCTGACACACTTACGCTGCTTTTTAGCTTAAGAATGGTCTCAAGGATCTTTTCACAGTATTGCATTACACAGAATAAGTAGTGTCTCCATGGCTGCTCTCCTGCAGGTCAGAGAAACCAGGCCTTTTAGGTTTGCTTACCCCTGCTCTCACCCTGGGTCATCTGTGGTCCTCCGCGGGGACCTGCCTCCCTCCCCGCTTCCCTCTAAGCAGAAACGAACCGCTGAAATCTTCTTTTGAAGAGGGGGAAGGCTCCTTCTTGCAGGAACCCCTTTAGGCTCAAGCTACCATCTGGTGCCACTGCTTAATCCCCCTTTTCCCGATGCCTTCCCTTCGCATTTCACTCTTTTTCTCAATACCTTTGGTTTTGGAGGATTTCTCTGGTGCCTGTCTCTTTCTCCCTGCAGGCTGAGGGCTTTGCGAGGACGGCATAGAGAAGACGGCTGGAGTGATGCTTGCGTGAAGAACCGTTGCCGGGAGTCTGCACAGCCATGCCTCCTAGGACACATCTACACCAAGCGGAGCAGCTCATGTTTTTCCTCTGCTGAGGGCAGCAACCGCACAAATGACGGCAAAGGGTATTTAGTGATTGTGCCGGGGAGGCAACGTTGCTGAAATACGCTAGCTGGCAAGATGCTGGTGGGGTTCCAGCACCCTGAAGGACTAACGCTTCACGCTCCCAGTGACCTCTTGGCAGCTCTTTTGGCCCTGCAGTCAGGAGTTAAGTAGATTTTAAAGCTGAAAAGGTCTACCAAATGAGTTTCTTTGGCCTCTTGCAGAGGACTATACCGATTTTTAGCCTGTTATCCCCATACTAAACCCACTCGTAGGCTGCCGGTGCCACGCAGGGGGGGTGGGAGCTGGCACCCCCGTCGCCTTCCGTGCCACGTTGGTCGCTAAACCTCACGGCACACGGGCAGCAAGGCTCCAAGCCTGGAGACACCAGGACGAGCAAGGCTGCGGGGGCCCCACGCCTGCCAGCGCTGGGGACTCCGGCAAGGCCTCGACCCTGCCGGTCCCCAGCACCGGGGTCTGCCCTGAAAACGCCCCTGGCCCTTGAACCCGCCGGCCGGGACCCCACGGGCCCGGCCCCGCTCTGAGGAGACCGCTGCGGCCCTGAGGCGAGCTCCGGGCCCGCCAAAGGGCCGCGGCGGAGCGCCTGGGCGCCGTGACGAGAGCCCGAGGGAGGGGGACCCGAGAGGCCCCGAGTCGGGCCCCCCGCCGCCGGCGCTGCCCGCCCCGACGGGTGCCTGGCGCGG